AAAGTTGAACTGTTAACACTCCTACATGGAAAGATGATATTTGTAACTCATGAGACCTCATTATTGATATTTGTAACTCATGAGACCTCTTTCATTATTAGGGTAGTTGAAGGGAAGATATATATATATATATATATATATATATATATATATATATATATATATATATATATATATATATAGACAAAGGGCATAGGGTGAGTTGAATATGAAGAAATGATAGCTTAAAAAAAATTAAGGAGTGAGAGAGGAATGTACTAGGAGAAGGAGAAAAGGAGAAGAATAATGAAGTAAATTATCTCACATAAAAGAGGCAAGAAAAAGCTTTTACAGTGGAGGGAAAGTGGGGGGAAGGTGAGAGGAAATGAGTAAACTTTACTCTCATCAGATGTGGCTTAAGGAGAGAATAACACACACATTCAATTTGGTATGGAAATCTATCTTACCCTATAGGAAAGTAGAGGGGGAAGGGGATAAGACAGGGAGGCGGTGATAGAAGAGAAGGCAGATTGGGAGAGGGAGTAATCAGAAGCAAACACTTTTGAGGAGGGACAGGGTCAAAGAAGAGAACAAAATAAATGGGGGGGGAGGAGAGAACAGAATAAATGGGGGGCGGGATAAGATTGAGGGAAATATAGTTAGTCTTTCACAAAATGACTATTATGGAAGTGTTTTGCATGACTACCCATGTATAACCTATATCAAACTGCTTGCCTTCTCAATGAGGGTGGGTGGGGAGGGAAGAGGGAAGAGAAATTAGAAGTTTTAAAAATGAATGTTAAAAATTGTTTTTGACATGCAATTGGGAAATAAGATACACAGGCAATGGGGTATAGAAATCTATCCTGCCCTATAGGAAAACAGAAGGGGAAGGGGATAAGAGAAGGGGGGGGATGACAGAAATGAGGGCATACTGGAGGAAGGGGTAATCAGAATGCACACTACCATGGGGTGGGAGGAAGGGAGAGATGGGGAGAAAATTTGGAACTCAAAATCTTGTGGAAGTGAATGTTGAAAACTAAAAATAAATAAATAAACTGGAGGGGAAAAAGAAAGAAATGATGAGCAGGTGAGCTTCAGAAAAACCAGAAAGTCTTACATGAACTGATGCTGAGTGAAGTAAGCAGTACCAGGAGAACATTGTGCTAGTAACAGTCATACTGTGCAATGATCAACTATGATTTACTTAGCTCTTCTCAGCAATATAATGATCTAAGACATTTTCAGAAAGACTCATGATGGAAAATGTGGTTCACATCCAGAGAGAACTGATAGAGTCTGAATGCAGATCAAAGCATATTATTTTCACTTTGTTGTTGTTGTCTTTTTTACATTTTCCTTTGTTTCTTCTTTCACAACATGATTAATATAGAAATATGTTTTACATGACTGCACATGTATAACCTATATCAGATTGTTTTCCATCTGGGGGGGGGAGAAGAAAAAGGGAGAAAAATTTGAAACTCAAAATCTTTCAAAAAAGGAATGTTGAAAATTGTCTTTATATATAATTTGAAGAAATAAAATATTATTAAAGCAAAAGAAAAGGTATGAAGAAGGAAAACAAAGTAACTTGGGATCAACAAGAAATATAGTATAAATAAAGAGAAGCATAGAAAGATTTACATGATTTGATGCAGTCAAGAAAACAATATAGAGAATGACAACAATATAAACTGAAAGAACACAAAACAATCAAATGTGAATGTTGGAAAATTATAAAAAAAAACCAAAAAACAAACCATAGCTCTAAAAAGAGGTGGAAGACACCCCTACCCTATTCTCTGTAGAGGTGGGAGATCAATAGGTATGGTATTTAACCCATATTTTAAGATTTTTTTGATATACTGCTCAGTTTTACTGACATTTCTCTCTTCTTTTTTGTTTAAAACATTATATATATATATATATGTATATGTATATATATATATATATATATATATATATATATATATATATATATATATTTAATATGAGATGGTTCTGGAAGGGGGATTTTGGGTGATGTAAAAAACTCCCAAAAGATATTAAAGTGTATTTTTTCAAGTACAGTAAATAACATAAAGCAGGGAGAAAATGGTACCTGCTGAGCAAAGACTACAGGATGCAAATGCTTCAAAGAACCACCTTATTTGAATTTCATATTGGATAGAGTCCCGGGCCTGCAGTCACGAAGATCTGAGTTCAAATTCTGCCTCAGACAGACACACACTTGCTGTGGGAACCTGGGCAAGTCACTTAACCTCTGTTTACTTTAGTTTCCTCAACTGTAAAACAGAGATAATAATAGCACCTATCTCCCAGCATTTTTGTGAGGAACAAATAAGATAATGTCTGTAAAAAGTCCTTAGCACGCTGCCTGGCACACAGTAGGTGCTACACAAATTCGTATCCCCTTCCCTTACTCTTCCCTCTCTTCAAAGAGTCAGAAGAAAGAGAAGGCAGAAAGTAATTAGGGGACATAAAAGGAAAAATGTAAAGTGAAGTACAAGAAACTTATTAAAGAATAATAAGAATAAGGGGCAGCTAGGTAGCGCAGTGGATAGAGCACTAGCCCTGGATTCAGGAGGACCTGAGTTCAAAAGCGGCCTCAGACACATGACACTTACTAGCTGTGTGGCCCTGGGCAAGTCACTTAACCCCATTGCCTAGCCAAAAAAAAAAAAAGAAAAAGAATAATAATAAGATTACTATTAAAGGATTTTTAAAGAATAATAAGGAAAAATCTACAAACCATGGGGATATAGGAAGGAGGCCAAGAGAAGGGCAACAGAGAACCTGACAGGAGAAATAAAGGTGTCAAAGGTGGAAAAGAAAGGAGAAATTTCAAGTAAGTCACAGAGGACTAATTAAAACCAAGCAAATATAGTGAAAATCATAAAATGACTAGAAATGCATAAGAAGTGGAAGGTAGGATATTGCAGCCTACTGGCCTCTGAGGCACAAGCAGGAAAATGGAAGAGAAATGGAATTAAAAATGTTTTATAGGGAATTGTGTTGAGGATTTGGGGGGGGTTGCTGTATTGGGGCAAAAACTGTAAATATATTTTATTTTTTAAAAAATATACTTTAAAAAGTTTTTAAAACCTATCAAAGGTCACATGAAAAGGTATAAAATAATACTATGAAAAATATCAAGAGCCAGAGAACACAGGGGAATTACATACTATTTGTAAGATATTTTGTAACTATACTTAGTATACAGGAATGTATACTCTCCCTCATTAGACTGTCAGTTCCTTGAAGACTATATATATACATATACATTTATAAACAATATACATGTATGTACACAGATGTGTATATATACATACACATACACATTCACTAATGCCACCAAAGGTCTCCCCAAAATAAAAGGCCACATTTTAAATAACAATATTATTCTAGTATTTTCAAATGTTTCAAATAATAGAACATCACAATCTCCAAAAGGGTATTAAGAGTAACATGGTAGATGTGAGTAGGTTGCAATAACATAAGGAACATAGTTCAAAGACTAGGGAGAAAGGAATGTCTTGGAGAAATAATTGTTAGAAAAAGATGGGCTGATGATTTTGTAAGGATGAATATCACTGGACAGCCCTAGTGATTTCTCTCAATATTCTCTCAATATCAGAAGAAAGGGAGGAAGTCGATAGCACCCCCAGTCGTGGAAGTTACAGCAAGTCAAAAGTTGCAGAGGATGGGCCAGTAGGTATGGGTTATGATCTGCACCATTAAAAGATCATTCAAATTAATGAGGTCATAAATCCACTTTAGTATTTCCCCCCAAAGACTTTCAGATATTTCACCTCATTTATATTTCTCATATAGCACAGAATACTTATTAGTACACAAGCATAAACTTGTGGAATTTAATTTATCCATTAATTATGAACCTTTACCACAACAAATGCTAACACATAAGCCTTTCACCAGTGTTAGTTTTAATTGAGCTAGACCTTATCAATATAGATTTGATATTTTAAAAATTAGTAAAACAGTATCCAGAAAAAATGTTTTCTGCAAGGTCTGCAGTATAAACCACTTACTAGTACATTCAAAGGCTAATTTAAAGAGGATTGGATTAGATAACCTTCCTTCTAGCTTTAAATCTATGATCACATATCCTATTTAAAGTTACACTGCTGTAAACTTATGAAGCGTCAAAATGAAACCTGAAACTAAAACAAAACTGAAATCATCGTACTAGCTTTGTGACCATTTCAAGTTTGAACTGCCGCTCCACGCAGTGATTTCGTTTCCTTTAAGTTATACAAAAGAAGTGTAATAAATGACATTGTAACAAAGCTCTGGAACAGTCTAATGCTCTACTTTAATGTCACTAATTTATGGAGAGAAGGGAAAAAAATTACCAAGTGCCTGTTTGCACAACTAAAACCCAATATATGTGGAAGTTAAACACTCTGGGAATGTCTAACTCTAGGGGTAGGGTGGAAGGATATTAAAGTTGTTCCCTAACGGGTACCTAACTCTTCGCAGTCCCGGGGGCAATAAATCACTGCTCGAAATAACATAGAGAATTGTAGAGGGGAGCAAGAATCAAGGGAAATGAGAGGGAGAAGGGAAGCTCCACCTACACCTTACCGGAGGGGTGGGGGTGGGGGTTGGGGTTTTAAGGCATTCCAGGAGACAGCAAGTAAAGAAGTGGCATAATACAGACGGAAAGAGGAAAAGAAACAGAGAAGACGGGAGGGTGGTTAGGGAAAGGAGGGGAATAGGAGGAGGGAGGGGAGGAATGAAAGGCAGAAGAAAGGGAATGGAAGGAAAGGGAAACGGGGATAGAAAGAGGGGAGGAGGGAAAGGGGGAAGAGGGAAAGCAAATACAAGGAGGGGAATGCAGGGCAGCCTGGGCGGAGGGAAAAGGAGGAAAGAAGGGGAGGAGGGAAGGGAGGGAAATCTGGGGGCATCCTCAGCCACGCCCTACGGCTCGGCCCGGGAAGGCCAAATGGGAGGGAGCCAGAGCTCGGTGGCCGCCCCGGCCGCCGCTCCCTTACCATCCTTAGCAGAAAGCCCCAGAGCAGGGCGGCCGCGGCCGGGAGCAGCCACCTCTTCGGCCTCATCCTCCTCGGCCCCTGGAGCGTCGGTTCCAGAGACCGTGGCTGCCACTCGGACCCGGCTCGGAGGAGGCCGGCTCCGGCCCGGTCCACTCCACTTCCTTCCGGCTCGGACTCTAGGGGGGTGGCTGAAATCTGCGGGGCCCCTGCGGTGGAGCGGACCGAGACTTCCGCCCCGACGTGTCCAGCGGGGGCGGGGCGGGGGTGGATGGGAGGGATAGGGAGGACTGGAGGAAAGTCCCCACGCTTGGCTACGCCCTGTGGGCGGGTTCCGGTGGGGAGGGGCGTGGCTGCAGAGGATGGGCGGAGCTGTCACTTCTGACCTCTTACTCCCCAGCCTTTCCTTTTGCGTTCCTCTTTTGGACAGTTTTGTACCCTCATAACCAACTCTCTCCTTTGTGGTCTGCCCCACATTCCCTTCAAGCCCTGTCCTAGTCCCCACACTCCTAATTTCTCTCTGGCCGAAATTAAAATTGTACTTTCTAGAACTTGAGGGCATGACCTCTCCAGAAATTCCCCGCAGCAGTAGAGCCTCGGATGCCTCCATTAGTACTCACTCATTTTTCACCTAGTAATGGAAAAGGTTACTGTGGTAGCTCGGGCGAAAGCTTTGGACTTGGCATGAGAGGACTTGGGTTTGAATGCAGACCGACTGTGTGATTTTGGCCAAGCTGTAGGCTTCACTTCCCTCACCTGTCAAATGAGATTAATAATACCTTTACTATCCAATAGCAATAAGTAGCTCTCACATAGCATTTGAAAGCTTATAAAGAACTTTACACATGTGATTACATGAACTAGTCAGAGTCATTACTGTGAAAGGTACCTCCCAGCCACCTCAGCCAGCAGCCTAGGCAATTTTTTCTCTTCTCTCTCACTCCCCATACTCAAGCAACATCCAAGTCCTCTGACCTATATCTAATTAGTGGTCAAGTCATTTCCAACCCCATAACATCTCTCCTATATGCCCCTTTTTCTTTTCTCATACTGCAACCACCTTGATGGATGCAACCCCCATCCTAAAGTGTAGTTCCCATATCACTCCCTATTCAACAAACTTCAGTGGCTTTCGGTTACCTCCAGGATTAATTTATAAAATCTTCTGATTCTCAAAGCCCTTTATAATCTGGCTCTTTCCTACCTTTCCATTCTTACACCTTACCCTCCTCTACATACTAAGATCCAGGGGGCAGCTAGGTGGCACACTGGATAGCGTACCGGCCCTGAAGTCGGAGGACCTGAGTTCAATCGGCCTCAGGCACATAACACTTACTAGCTGGGTGACCTTGGGGAAGTCACTTAACCCCATTGCCTAACCCCCCCAAAAACAACAAACAAACAAACATACTAAGATCCAGGGAAGATAGCCTCTTCTCTGTTCCTTAAACAAGATACTCCATCTCTCTATTGTGGTCATTTTCACTGGCTGACACCATGCCTGGAATTCTCTTCTTCCTCATCTCCACCTCTTAGCTTTCTTCAAGTCCCAACTAAAATTACACTTTCTACAGGATGCCTTTCTCAATGCTCCTTAATGCCAGTGCCTTACCTCTGAGAATACTTCCATTTAATATATATGCATCATATAATATTTATGTATACATACATACGTATGTATAAATGTGTCATACACATCTTGTTTGTGCATAGTTATTTGCTTGTGATCTCCTCCATTACTGTGATCTTGAAAACAAGGACTTGTTCTTTTCCCTTTTTCTTCAGATCCTCAGTGCTTTGTCACACTATATGCCTGGAATATAGTAGGCACTTAATAAATGCTGTTTGACTGACATAAATAATGACTAAGGTAGGATCTGAATTTAGCAATTCCCATCTCTAAGTCCAGAACTCTATTCACTGAACCACATAGTTCCCTGGTTTATTGTTAAGTGTCAAAGGAGAAGGAATCTAAAGAAGCTTTAAAGTCCTATATACTAATTATTATTGTTGCCAGATGTGTGATATTGAGCAAGTCATGTAATCTTTTTGAGCCACAGTTTCCTTATTTGAAAAAAAATGGGGGGCAGCTAGGTGGCACAATGGATAGAGCACCGGCCCTGAAGACAAGAGGACCTGAGTTCAAATCCAGCCTCAGACCAAACACTTAACACTTAATAGCTGTGTGACCCTGGGCAAGTCACTTAACCCCAATTACCTTAAAAAAAATGGGGACAATATATGAGACTCACCATACCTTCCAAACTGGTTGGAAGAGTAGTAAGGAGGTGTTAATGGGAGATCATCTGGTCGCTCAGGCTGGAACTTAAAAGATAGCAATACTATGTATGTCTGTGTGGGAGGGGCTAACATTCATTTATCAATTCATACAACTGCTAGGATGCACAATGGTTAGAGCTAAGTCTGAAGTCAGGGAAGGCCTGAATTCAAATTTGACCTCAGATACCATCTGACTCTGGGAAAATAATTTAACCTCTATTTGCCTCAGTTTCCTCAACTGAAAAATGAGGATAATTATAGAACCTATATCACCGGGTCTTTGTGAAGATCAAATGAGATAATATCTGCAACATACTTAGCACAATGCCTGGCATATAGTAGGCACTATATAAATGCTGCTGCTGTTGTTATTGTTGCTACTAATGGACAATTGCGCTGGGAGAGATTCAAAGTTTAGATAATGGGCCATTAGCCACCAGAAACTTACATTTTAGTAGTCTGCAAGTATGAGAAATCTACAAAGCAGAAAATATGAGAATAGGTGCCCTCAGCTGGTACTTAAGCCAGATTTGTGAATTTAGTTGATTCTCATTAATCAATTCCTCTCAACAAACATTTGTTACATCTCATCAATGTACAGTTTGAGCCATTGGGGATACAAAAAAAAAAGAAAAAGTTTCTGCTCTCAAGGAGTTTGTATCCTATTCTAATCAAACCCCTGTTATTGTTTTCACTTGTGTCTGACTCTTATTTTTATTTTTTTCAGAGCCGCAGACAGTTAATCTTTCCAAAATGAGATTAGGAAGAGAAATGAAGAAACCACTGGTAGTAAGTAGTAGGAGGCAAAAGTGTCTTCTTGGGTCTGTCATTTGATGAAATGGATTTTCAGTTACTGTGCATTTCCATTGCTTTTCCATGTATTACACATGGCAGAGACTTGGGAACCCACATGCCTGAAGCCAGGTTACTCTTATGTTCCACAACTACATTCTCCACAGGGCTGTTATTGCCACTGAAATTATCAGTGCCCCAGATGAAGATAGTGTTAGACTGCTCCCGCAAATCTTTGTCTCAGTCTTCATCACAAGGAGGGCATTGCTATGTGTTCACAATCAGAATCTCCAATCTGTAGTTCCTGAATTGGCTAACATGCAGCTTTTATCATTGGAGTTTGAGATAAAGCTTGAGATGTCATGGCTGATTTCAGTCCAGAGGGATCTTGGTGGCAAGCTTTAAGAAGACAGGTAGCCAATTTGTTTGCAACAACAGGGTGCTTCTTTCTGCATTTGATCAGATGATAACGGAACCTGCAGGCCCTAATCTGATGATTTTTATTATGTGGTCCTTATATAAGCTTCTCTGGATCTAAAGAAGCAACACAATTGTTACCCATATCTGCAGCGAAAAGGAAGCAGACCCAAGTGCTCTCTCAAAGCTGTGATTCAGGGAACCAGAAGTAGAATCCACCAAAAGACTTCGACTCAACAAAACAGAGTCAAACTCAGAGCCCAGCTGCATGCTTTTGTTGTTTCATTTTAGAATCATGGACGTTGCTATGTAATTCCCTGAAAGTAATCCAGCCTATTTGCCTGTTTTCTTATTCCTATTCAGTTCTGGGCCCAGTTAGTCATCTTTCTGTCAAGATGTGTGAATTAATGAACTATTTCAATGGACTGATTGCCCACCCAACTGCATCATCTACTTGGATGAAGAATATTGTACTGTTAAGCCACGCTAACAGTTTGGAGTGGTTGTGAATTTTGCTATGGTAGCCATGAAATGGGTATTTGTTGTTATTATTGAGTCATTTCAGTCATGCCTGATTCTCCATGACCCTATTTGGGTTTTTTTTTCTTTCTAACAGTCAAGTTGAGAAGCATTTATGAGGCACTTACTATATGCCAGGCACAGTGCTAAGCTCTGAGGATACAAAGAAAGGCAAAAATAAGTCCCTGCCCTAAAGGAGATGACAATCTAATGGAAGAGAGCTCACAATTACTGTACAGAGTAGAGATTTACAATTTTATGTGCTTTCTTCTTTTTCTGTTCCTCTTTGTATGGAGAAATGTTCATGTTTGTTAATTTTATTAAGTTCATAATAATAAAATTTTAAAAAACAAACAGGCGTACAGAAACTGATATGCAACAGATACACATAAAAATCATCTAACTCAATAAATCTTAATCACATGGAGAAAGATCCTGATACTGTGATATTTAGAGACAAAGACTGATGTTAAGGTATCCTGGAAATAATGGGTTTTATTTTGTCAAGATATTAGGAGACACCCTGTTTTCCAGAGCTAAGGCCCAGCAAGCAAGCTGTGTTCTGAGCTTGGCATAACAACAATCCTTTGCCTTCACCCTCTGGATGATCTCACCCTCTGGCAAAATCACATAATTATTGTATTGCTTGGACCAGCACCAGGTTTTCTCTGAGCTTGGACAAGCACCGGACAAGTACCCCTGTTCCGGTCATGAAGCCATACTCTGAATCAAACCTGTCTCATTACTGCTGTTGTCACTCATTGTCAGGGCTACAGCTCATTTTGTAGCCATTAGTATAAGTATTGAGATCTCCCCACGATGCCTCAGGTCCTCCTCAGTAGGGGCAGGGCCCCAGCACATCTCTAGATCCCCTCCTTGCTTGCAAGCCATTTTCCTCACTTCGAAATTAAACTTCTGTTTGATTCCTGACTCTCCTGTCGCTAGCCTGCTTTATTCAGCTCTGGTCACCCATAGGTTAGAGGTTGATTCCATCCAGTTGATAGTTTTAAGATGAATAATAACAGAAATAATTATGGTCAAAACTATTAAATTTCAACATGTGATTGCTCATTAATTTACCAGGAAAAATTTTCAAGAAAGTGATTGGGTTCAATTGCTAAATACTTTATACTCCACATTGTGTAGTAAAGTCGCCTGCTACAAGGAGGTGTTGTGAGCCTACATACAGTTAGCATATTTATAAATGGAATCATCTGCAAAAATGGGTAAGTAGATGCTGAGCTATAAAGGTAAACATCAGAACTGCAGAAACACACCCGTTTCTTTTTA